AAAAAAATCACTTAAAAAAATCTTAAAAAATCACTATTAAAAAGTAAAAAATCACTTTATTAAAAAATCTTAAAAAATCACTTAAAAATTCTTAAAAAAATTACTTTTTAACATAGCTAATCAATAATTATTACTGATATCACAATGTTATCATTTTAATTAACATGAACATTCCCATTAATTGTTGAATTTAATTATACAATATTATGTAATTGAAATTTAAGTATAAAAATGATTAATTTTTTTTTCCTTGTTCAAGTTTTTTTTTAAAAAAAACGTAAATATAAATTTTGATAATTAATTTAATCTTCGTTAATTAAGGATGCCTCGAGAAAGAACTAAGAGACCTAATAATAGTCGAGCTAGAGGTGTTATGACCCATCAGTAGGGATGGAAACGGTTCAAAAAGAGTGACTCCAAGTCAGTTCTGAAACTGATTATAATTTCAGCATATTCTGGGTTTTCCTAAGTTACAAACCATTTTTAACCAATATTAAAAATCGAACCAGAACTGACTCTGGACCGGTTCCAAGAGTCAGCTTAAAATCGGATTGTCATCAAATTAAAGGTAATAAGAGGACAAATTTGTTTGATAACCATTCAAAAAATTTTTTAAATTGATCATCACATGATATTCAATTAGTATAAATTAACTTAACGCTCAAAGTTTTAATTTACTTAAGAAGAGTCAAAGTAGAACTGAAGAGGAACTGAAATGGAACCAATAGAACTGTCCCTATCCCTACCCGTCGATCTACAAATTCTAAGAATGGTGACTACTAGTCGTACTCGAGGTGGTATGACTCGTCAAACTACAAGATCTATAAATCAATCTGATGATCACGAAGATGATATTTACGAAGACTATGATTACGAAGATCACATAGACGTTGATCAAGATAAAGATGTTCAGGAATCTTTCGATGAAACTTGTAATCGGGGTTCTCCTATTAAAATTCGTGATCAAGATTCATCTGTTAAAATCCGTGATCAAGATTCACTTAAAACTTCAAATGTAAATCAAATTCAATATATTCAAAATGATATCTCAGCTGTTACAATTCGTCAAACTATAAATCAAAGAATTTTACCTGCTGTAAATGCAAATCAAGTAACCAATACTACACAAGAAAATACTCGAGGTTCTTTAAGTTTTCCTGTTACAACCTATAGTAGAAATCAAAGTGTAAATAGTAATTGAGATCGAAGTTCTTCTGTTACAATTTATAGTAAGAGTTCTGGAAATCAAAGCGTAGATGATACTTAAGATTTATGAGAATCTTCTTTTACGCATGATACAGAAGAATCTTCTTCCAAACATCATGATAAAAGATCTTATATTGATGATCTCGGTAAGACATTATTTGAAGTTTTTAGTATTTAAAATCTATAATCATAAATAATAAAATAACAATCTATTACCTTGTCAATAATTACGTAGAAAAAACTGATAATTCAAATGATTTTATAGATGATTGCTCTGATATCCATCAAGATTCTAGTAATTCTGTAAAGCAAAAATTTATTTTACACTACAAACCTTTAGAACAAAAAGAGTTACTAAGCGAGATCCAACCAGATTTAAACAAGCAAATTGTTCAAAAAGATAGTTTAATTAATTGTGTATATATGGATTATTACTTACAGTTACTTTAATAACTATTATGTTTATTTATTGTATTTGCTTTTATTTATAGGCAACACTGGATATGTTGATGATTCTAGTCAATGAAGCAAAAATTTTATTTTTGAAATCACGTGATCCTTCAACTGTTGCGTACGATACATTGTTGAAATCAATAGCTCTAGGATTTTCTAAAAATAGTAATACAATGTTCTTTCTTAAAATGAAATTAGGTTTATATTTTGCAGATTACCAGTCCCGTTTAAACACTGAAGCCAGGGCCTATGCTAAAGATTACATTAATAATAACGGTAATCTTGTATCTGAATCTTTTATTTTTATTCTTGTAATTAATTAACTATTTATTTTATTTTAGTACTACTATCAATAATTTACCAAGTATTGAAGATTTGGTTTCATATATAGATGATACTGTCATTTTTCAATGCATTAAGAGTCTGATGGCTCAAATTACTAAAGAATAGTGGGAGGATGATACTGATAGTGTGGATGTTTTTAGATTTTTCATCACAACAATCATAAGAATTCATATTATTAATGTTCTAAAATGCAATAATGATCCTTACCTTACTAATACATCAGCACTAAACGAGATCAAGACGCTTAATTACATAACCTGCGAACTTCATCTTCCTCATAATAATTCTACAAATTATGCAAATGAAATTGGTGCAAATTTATTAAATAA